CGTGGTTGAGCTGCAGCGAGCGCAGCGCGGGCAGCCCGCGGAAGGCGCCGGCGCCCAGGGCGCGCAGCGGGTTGTGGCTCAGGTCGAGCGCCGCCAGGCTGGGCAGCCCGTCGAAGGCGCCGTCCTCCACCACCTCGATGTTGTTGTGCGTGAGGCGCAGCGCGGTCAGGAGCGGTAGGCGCACGCCGCCCGCCGCCACCTCCTCCCCGTCCGCGTCCCCGCCGGCGAAGGCGGCCGCGCGCAGCACCGTCAGGTTGGCGCCCACGATGGTGAGGTTGCGCGCGTCGGGCGGCACGTCCCGCGGCGGCTGCCGGAGCTCCGCGCCCGACGCGCAGCGCAACAGCAGCTTGGGGCCGCCGAAGCAGTAGCACTGGAAGGGACAGGGCGCGGCGGGCCGGCTCAGCGCCGCCGCCACGAGCAGCAGCCCCGGCAGCAGCGGCCCCCTTTGCTCCGGCTGTCCCGCGCGCAGGGCCATCGCGGCTGCCCCCGCATCCAGCGCCAAGGCCGCCGCGCTCACCAGTGAGTTCGGAGCGCCTGGGGGGCGGGGAGGGGGGCGGGTGGGGCGAGTCCTTGGCTCGGAGCGGCTGGCAGTCACTGTCGGTCCGTCCGCTGGCTCTGAAGTCCGAGGATCCTTCACTTTCCTGGCTGGGGCGAGAGGGGTCAGGAGCCCCCCGCCCCCGGTGCCCTCCTCGCCCTGCGCGCCGGCTTCCGACTTCCGCGGCCGTTCCGGGCTCGGAGCCGAGTGGGCAGGGTTTGCCTCCCCCCTCCCCGCCTCCCGGCCTCCTCCTCCGCCCCCAGCGGAGTCTCCGAGCCCTCCTCGCCGAGAGGCGGGGTGGGAGGCTCCCGAGAATCAGGGCTTTCGGCTGCTGCGCTTTCTCTTCTCCCCTCCCCGCTCCGGCGCTGCTGAGAAGTTGGGCTCTCCGAGGTTCTGACTTGCTGCCCTCTCGTCTCCCCCCATCCCCTACGTTTAAGCTGGTTCCTTCCTTCTCCCTCTCTGGCACGTGTGGGGCGGGGCCGGGCCCGGGACAGCAGGCAGGTGGGTCAGCACCAAGGAGCAAGAATTTGGGTAGAGGACTTGTGAGTTCCCCTACAAGCGCAGGCAGGGGTGAGAGGTGGGCTGAGAAAGGTACTCATTTTTCAGCCTCTTGCTAATTTCTGTGATCAAGGAGAGGGCTGTGCGAGGAGAGGCTGGAAAATCCCCAGCCTCGGCCCCCTCCTCCGCGACCCCAGTTACATTAGGCCTGGCTGGGTCACCACCCCCGCAAGTCCTGTGGAACCAGCGTTTTCTCGACCCCTTCTCATCCCCTCCTCCCCCTGGGGGGAGTCAACGACACCGCCGCCTCCTTTCTCTCCTCTCCTCTCTCTCCTCCCCACAACTCACGCAGAGGACTTCTTCCGTCTGCTTTCCTCCCCCAGGCTGGACCCCTCCCCGAGCGCCCTGGAAGGCCCTGGGACCCGGTGGGTGTGGTGATTCAGCTCTTTGCCATCTCCTCCCTGCCCCAGCACCCGGGCACCCCACTAGACTCTTCTATTGGGTCTCAGGACTTTGGGGTTGTTGGACACCAATCCACCACCCGTCTTCCCCTCCAGGGTTCCCCACCTGTAAATGTGAATGGGGGGAAGGGTTTGGGGTTCTAGAGTTTGGGAGAACAGGAGCAGATTTTGTAGCTTGGAGTGGGGGGTCTCAGAAGGACCAAGGCTGAGCTGTTTATAGGTTTGTTTTGTTCTGGATTTTTTTTTTTTTTTGCAGAACTGGGAAGCTCCAGACCTGATTTAAAGAGACAGGCTCCTGGGAAGGGAGCAGTCCTGGCCTTGGCATGAATTATTCAGGCTGGAAAGGCTGACACTTGATCCGCAGGCCATTCTGGTATCAGCAGAGCTGGTTGGGATAGAGGGTCCTCCACCCACGAATCAGTCAGTCTCTTTCTCCTGAATTAGGGGGGTTGTTGGGTTGACTCTTTGGCTGAGATTATATTTAACAGATCGACCAACAGATCAATACCACTTAAGGGGGAGAGCAGACCCAGTGATGGCCTGGGTCTTGGGCAAGGACCAATGTTAAAGACCAGGGCTGTTGATGCTCGGGGAGCGCCGGCCCTCCTCTCCAGCTTCCCCTTTTCTCCCCTTTCCCCATCATCACTCCCAGGTATTGGCAGATGAGAACAGTAACTTGCACATACAGGGTTGGACATGTCTGTACAGATGTACATGTGAGGCTGTACACACACATGTACTTGTACACGCAGAGGCAAGCTTGACTCATAAACAGACCTAGGTGTGTCCACCTGTGAGCACACACAGACTCATGCTCACTTTAGTGTCCATATACACACATAGGAAAGCTTGCACAAGCTTGTGCACAGTTCCAGGCAAGCTCGGATGTGCCTCATGCAAGTGTATGCAGGCTCATTCATATGTGTGCACACGTGAGCATAGATTTGAGTGCGTCCTGCTGCATCCTTGGCATGCGTCCATAGACTCATAAGCACATATATACTTGAACATTCACGCTTCTGGGCCCGTGCAGGTTCTGGGTGCATTCTCAGGGGGGCAAGCTTACAGACCCATGCATGCAAGTGCATACATCCAGAGATTGGCCGACATACTCTGAGCCACTCCTGTCCTCCACCATGCCCTGGGTCTGTGGAGCTAACAGGCCGTGGTATCTTTTCTCATATAGGCACGAGTGCTCAAATAGATGCCGCTGGGGCTGGGCCCAGGCCCTAAGCTGTTGCACTCCCCCAGCCCTGGCCTGTGTCAGCTCCAAACCCCAGCTCAGACATCTCCCCCAGTGGGGGGCACTGGCTCTTCTTCGCTGTTGTGTTTCCAGTACAGGGATTAACACAAGAGAGTGGGCAGTAAATGTTTGTAGGCGAATGAATGAATGAATGAATGGAAAGGTCTCTGATTCCGGAGTGATTCCAGCCTCTGAGGAATCACAGACCAATTGCTAAGGCCAGAGTCCCCTCTCCAGGCCCCCGGTGGCTGGTTCCTGATTGGCTGATGGCCCCCTCAGAAAGGGCTGCAGGACAGCTGGCGGCTGAGATTGGGGGAGTGCTAGACACCTCAATTGGGGAAAGGAGGCCCAGAGAGAGCCTAGAAGTGTCAGGTGCCAGAGAACAAGGCAATGACTGTGTTTTTAAAAATGGGGAAACTGAGGCAGAGGACCAGGGACTTGCCCCAAAGCCACTGGTTGTCAGGGCTTTGTCTGGAACCTTGGCCCCAGGGCCCTTGCCCAGGGCTTTGTCCACGGTATGGCTGCGTCTGAGAGGAACCAGCGCAACAGGGCAATCCTGTCCCGACCCCGGAAGCTGAGGCCAGGAGCAGATGCCAGGGTGGGTCTGGTGTGACCTTGGACCTCTCTCCACCTCTGGGCTGTCAGCTCCTCCTTCTGGAAAGTGGGTGGGCTTCTGAATTCTTTTCCTTCCCAGTCCTCTCAGAGCTGTTGTGATCAAGTGAATGGAAAGTGCTTTGAAACAAGAAAAACCCTGTCACCTAGGGGTTGGGGGCCTGGTCCCCGTCTGCCACACTTTCGCCTTGTGGCTCTGGACGAGGCATTGTCCTTTCCTGGGACTGATTATCTCCCGTGTCATTGTGCCCTGTTCAGTCTTCCTCCCTCCCCCAGCACATCAAATTCATGGGAGGTGATGTAAGGAATGCATTTCCGCTTGCTGTCCCCGTGTCTGCCTCTACCAGCAGCCTCCCCGTCCTCCCTCTATGTGCAGGTGCTCCCTTTCTCTGTCCAGGTTCCCCTGGAAACAAGTCTGTGAGCCATTTGGAGGCCTCTGTTCTCTGGAGGAACAGCCCTCTCCATCTTGGGGTTGTCAGTGTTTGTCATGCAGTAGGTGTTCAATAAATGTATGTCCGATTGCATCTGAGGCTGTGTGTTTATTCTTTGATCATCCAGTGGAAGTATCTTTGTGCAGGCTGTTTGCCCTACCTGGGGTGCTCTCTTCCCTCAACTCTGTTTCTCCAGTCCAGTCCACTGTCCCTCAGGGCTTAGCCTGAGTTCTGCCCCCTCCAGGAAGCCCTCATGGCTTCCTTACCTCTCCTTTGAACTTCACTTAGTGATCAGAGGGCTAGAGCTCCCCTGGGCCCCCTGACTGTCAACAGCTGGGGCTCAGGACTGCTGTGATTTCCTGTGCTGTCAGTACACAGCTCAGAGCTCAGCAGGGAGAAGGCACCAGGGAATGTTTATTGAATGAAATAATGGCTTAAAAATCTCTGGCTCCATCCTCCCATCCCTGTGAGGCAGGCTAGGTGAGGACCCTCCATCTACACTTTATACCAGGAGACAACCGCCCAGAAAGGTTAAGTTCTTTCCCCGAGGTTGCACAGCTGACTGGGGCTGGAGTCTGACAGGAGCTCAGGTTTCCTGCTTATCTCCTTTGCCGCAGCCCTCCCCATCCTAGGCTGTCTCGCTGGGGAGTGTGACTGGGTCAGATCCCAGGGGAGCCTGGGGGAAAGAGCTCCTGCCCTCAGGATTTCCTTAGGACTCAGCAAGCTGGTCACCCTAGCGCCACCCAAGCAGAGTGATCATCTGCCCTGTGCTGGGTTGAGAATCCCCCATGTCAGCCACACTGGACCCCAATTCTTGAATTTATTATCCCACTAGGCTGCAGAGCCCCTCCCTGAGCCTTCCAAGGCGCTGTCCCTCCCCGAAACTCGGCTCCTTCACTGGCTCCTCTTCTCCCCCAAAGGCCCTGCCCTCTGTAAGCTCCGCTGAGACTTGGCAGGGAGCCGGAGAGGTTTGGTCACCCAGCAGGTAGCCCCTTCCCCGTCGCCTGCAGCTCCATTTTCACTAATGTCCATGGGCGAGTCTGCCTTTCCAGGTCTCCGTTTCCCTGTCTGCAAAGGTGTGTGTGAGATGGGTGATCTTGGGGGCTTTCGAGTCCTGTGCCCCTTGGCCTTTTAGGGATGGGGGTTATGGGAGGGAAGGTGAAACTGTGATTTGCCCATCTTGGTGCCCCCACCTTCTCAATGTGTGACCTTGAACTTGGCCCCACCCCAACTATAAAGTGGTGGTAGGATGGTTCGGGGGTCCTCCTAAGTCTGTTCTGTGGCAGCCTGTGATCCAGCGTCCCTTTATGCTGGTGCCCGCCCTCTCCCTCTGCTCCTGTTCCTCTGAGGGAAGTGGGGGAGCAGCAGGGCAGGGCTGACATGACGAAGCTCAGCCATTAGGTAGTGGGGAGGCCCCGGGTTCTCTCCTCTTGTGTGGCTTCTGCACTGCGGGGAGGGGAGTGCTCCACTGCCCGCTTTACTGTTCCCATTTCTCACTCCCCCCTTCCCCCACCACCTTGAAACACGGGAAAATCCATAGGCCCAGATTCATTTTCTCCATTGAGACAGCAGAGGCCACGCTCCCCTTCTGAGGGGCCGGTGACTGGCTTTTAAATAACTCTCCGATATTTAATACCCTCCTCCTCCACTCTGCGGCCTGAGCCTCTGGGGAAAGGCTGCAATACATGAGCTGGATGAGTCCTCTAAAAGTCTAAGTGTTCCTACCCCCACCTCAACCCACCCTCTCCCGCCCAGGCTCCCAGGCCGGCAGGAAAGGCCCATTCCTTCCTTACTACCTTTGCACCACGCTTGACCATTTCTATGTGGTGCCCCAGGCTGGGTTTGTTATGCCCAGTTTAGAATCGGAAACTGAGATTTGGAAAAAGGTAGTGACCCCATCTGGCTTTTGGTATTGGTCTACTGCTGGCTGGCTGTGTGACTGTGAGTAGATCCCTGTCCCTCTCTGGGCTTCTAGTTCCTCACCTGTGCTCCACGGTGGTTCAGCCAGTGGGTTGCCACTGGTCCCTCTAGCTGTAAAAATTTCATGAGTTTTGCTTTGGTCTAGATCTCCTCTCATGGAGTACTTTTTGCCTCCACACTCCTCCTCCTGGAGAAGCTAAAGGGCACAGCAGACTGAGGCTCA